AACCAGCAGGGGAGCGAGCCCATGGGAAGTGGTGGTGCTGTGCCCAGGGGTAAGGGAAGAGCTAACGGAGGGAAACGCACGGTGCAGCGGACCAGAGGGGTGGGAAGAAAAGTTCCAGTCAGGCCAGTTGATAAAGAGTTTATGCAAGAGGACGTAGTTGGCCCAAAACCTTGGGGAACATCTGTAGTTTCCTAAGAAGAAATGGAAAGGGGAACAAGGCCGGATGGCGATGGGAGCAGCCCCGCTGCGGTACAGAAAGACACAGGGCAGGCTGGCCGAGCCCTGCCTCGATGAGCGGCCTCCAGGGAAGGGAGCCGGGTGGCGGAGGGCAGTGCGGACAGGCCCACGTCTGAGGCTCGCGCTGCCTCCCGGGAAGGGTGCGTGGGCATGGCCACATCGGGTGTTTAGAAGGGTGACCTGCTAGCCTTGCACGAACGGGACGAATTGGAGCTACACAGGTCAGAGAAACGGGGGAGTGAGGGGGAGAAGGATAGTTTGTCTTTTTAACACGCTAAGTAGAACATGTGGGTGAAAATGTCCAGCAGAAAACTGGAAATTCAAGACTAACTCCCAGGAAAGAGATAGAGATTAGACGTGGAGATCAAAGGATGGGCTCCGGAGAGATGGTCTTTGGAGTTGTGCGTGTGAGTGAGGTCTGAGGAGACAGCTTGTAGAAGGTGAAGGAAAACAATTCAAGGGGGGAGAGGAGGCAGCAACAGAAACAAGAGGAATGACCAGGGTGGGACAGCGGCCCCTCAGACCCGACAGGGAAGGCCTGGGCGGAAGGCCGTGGTCGAGTGGAGGGGGGTGAGAGGTGGACAGAGATGGCAGGGAGGAGGGGGGGGGGTCAGAGGCGTTGGCTGTCGGAAGTCAGGAAGAGTTCTCTCGGCCGTGTGATGGAGCCAGAAGCCACGTGGCCTAGAATTTGAGTGGGACTTGAAGAAGTAGGGATGGCTCGTTCAGTCAAGAAAGTTACCTTTGAAATTTTGTAACTAGAGGGGGGCGCAATACTTATACAGTGTCACCCAGTGTTATTAGTCTTGGTCCATTTTCAGTTCGTTCCTGCCTTCTGGATCGAAATTACAGCTGAGAACCTATATTTAAGTCCTTAACATTTCTCAAATGAGAAACACTCACCTCACAAGTGATAGCTTCCTGTTAAATCACACCATCTTTGATATTCAAAGGAGAAAAATATAGCCCCACGAAGCCCTCGCCTGCCAGAGAGAATAGACACTGTTTAAAGCTATCCACTGAACTAAACCATTTTGTTTTGATTTGGCCTTTCTTTAGATCAAAGGTGGACCAGGTACAGGACATCATTACTGGGAACCCTACAGTCATCAAGATGGTCGTCAGCTTCAACAGAGGTGCCCGTGGACAGAACACGCTGCGCCAGCTCCTGGCTCCGGTGGTGAAAGAGATCATTGATTACAAGTCCCTGGTCATCAACACGAACCCTGTAGAGGTATACAAGTCTTGGGTGAACCAACTAGAAACACAGACTGGAGAAGCCAGGTAACAAAGCCAGGAAGATGTTGTTTTTCATTCCTGTTTCATGATCATTTTTACATGTGTATTTATATGTATTCTTAAACTCTCTCAAGCTCTGTTAAAAGAACAAAATTTACTTTGCAAAATCCATTTGGTCCAAGATGTCACCTCCCTTTAACATATTGTGCAGGTCACATTCTCATCTCAATGGCACGTGACATCAAATTTCAGTACCAGTTGACTCCCAAAGCCACAGCTTCTGTACTTCCCTCCCTTGCTTAATCTCTTGTGTGTCTGAACTAGGCCTGGAGACGGCACACGCTTTCCCTTCAGCTGACAGGACACAACTTTTTTAGAGTAACTTTAATGTGGAGGCATCAACGAGCCAGGTGGGGTGGCTTGTTCTAGGTGGTGGTTTGTCGATCTAAGCAGTCCCAGCCTTTTCCTCCCTGCGAAAGGATGCCTTGTGAAATCATGAAGATACACACAGAGAACTATGGCTGTCACAGCACCATTTGTAATAGCAACAGCCGGGCAAAGTAAAAATATTTAGCTTTGGGGAACGTGTTAAATAAATATTTGTGTAACATGTAATGAAGTAGTGAGTAACTATTTAGAATCATGGTATAGAAATATACTTATTTGCATGGAAAAAACATTCACAATTTAGTTTTCAGTTGCAGTTAAGTAACCCATTTTCTTTCAAAGGAAATGCTTGTACACACACACACACGCATATAGGGTCTGTATGTGGTGTGTATATACATGAACTGCATTATACCCATGAGTGTATAAGACCCATATACACATGTGCACGAAAGGAGGACCCGGAAAGCTATGGACTAAGATATGAAAAGTGGTTGTAAATTGGGGTGTGTTTTTTACTATTAGCTTATATGCAATTTTTTTCTGTAAAGTACATACTGCTTTTCATAACTTTTTTTTAAAAAGGGAAAAGAGAAAGTTAACTGGGTCTGCGCTACATGGGCCTGCCAGTTACTTTGTCAGAAGAGCTCAGAGGGAGAGCCTGGAGTCCCCCTCTCTCCTAGCGGTGGAGGACCATCTGGGCATGTGAGGCGCCCCCTCACTTTGCAAACCTTTTCTCATTGGAGTCAGTGGGCAAAGTCTAGTTCACTGTACAAAGTGTGACTATAGAACCAACTTGGTAAGGATGCAAATGCTTGACCCTAAGCCCCATAAAATTGCAAGCTCTTGTGTTTTCAGCAATCTGCCTTATGATGTGACCCCAGAACAAGCTCTGACGTACCCAGAAGTGAAAAGTAGACTGGAGGCATCCAGCGAGAGCCTGCGGAGGGTCACCGACCAAGTCCTGAATTCCATCATCTCCTCCCTTGATCTGCTGCCGTAAGTTCTATATGCAGCAACTTTAACATTCTTTGCTGAAAGTTCTTGAAATAATATGGAAAATAAACCCCTGTAGTGAAGATAGGAATTTTCTCTCATGTTATATTTACTGTTTTAAATGTTTGCCTACATTTGCATTTTAAATCCATAACCATTCTTCAGTGAGACCAAGAACAAACCGGTTCTCACTATTCTGCGATTTGTTACCATCTCATTTTATGTTTAACTTCAGGAAAATGCTCAGCTTTGGTTGACTGGAACAGTTGCTGTGTGTTCCTTTCTCACTTAGGTTTTTTTCCATTATTTTCTTTTGTCATGTTTTACATGTAGTTATGGATTGAGGTATATAGCCAAAGTACTGAAGAATTCGATCCATGAGAAATTTCCCGATGCAACAGAAGATGAGCTATTAAAGGTAGATTTTTCAAGGGTAACCTTGGGGGTATGAGCCAAAATTACCAACATACCATTTTGTAAGACTTTTTTCACCTTCTGTGACTATAATAAGCTGCAGTGATTATGTTCACTACCTTTATTTAACTCCTTGTATCAGAAAATAAAATGCTTTCTTGGGAAATGTCAGTCAATATTTACTTTAGGAAAAAACCCAAACCCTTGAGTTTCTCTCTTAAAGATAGTCTTCTACGTCACTCCAGATTGTGGGCAACCTCCTGTACTACCGGTACATGAACCCAGCTATCGTAGCTCCCGACGGCTTTGATATCATCGACATGACAGCCGGCGGGCAGATAAACTCCGACCAGAGGAGAAACCTGGGAACGGTGGCCAAGGTCCTTCAGCACGCGGCCTCCAACAAGCTGTTTGAAGGAGAAAACGAGCATCTCGCATCTATAAACCATTATTTATCAGACACGTACCAGAAGTTCAGGTGAGGGGTCGTGGGGAGGCTGGCAAGGCGGCGGAGTTGGGGGCGGGAACCTCAGGTGGCTGCGTGCGTTTCTGCTCCGCGTGGGCACTGAGGGGAGGGCAAGGGGGCCGAGCAGGCTGGGTCACTTCTCTCTGGTGCTCCCCCTCCCGCCCCAGAGCCCCGTTACAGTGAATCACCCCCGTGTATGATTCCTGCTGTCGACAAAATGAAATCGTTACTCTTGGTGGTATGCTACAGGCTTACGGTCAAGGGTTTGACTTTTAGAATTAAAAGTCAAAATAGCTGACTTTTGCATTTTTGAACTTAAGAAAAGGATTTTTGTTTGTTTTAAGAACTTGCTCGTTCAGGAAAAACGTGCCTTATCTGCATCAAACAGTAAGTGGGAAACTGAGGAGTTGGTGTTGAAAGGCTGGGAAGACCCGTTTTTATATTTGCTGAGGGTCATGTGTGCGGATATGTTCTGTTCTAGTCGCCAACCTTTCCTAATTATCCACGTAAGGCTGAAGTCTATTAATGTGCCGTGCGTTTCCGAAGCGTAGCACTGATTATCCCACAGGGACGTGAAAGGAGTGGTCTGGCGAAGACTCACTCACCTGCAGCTCCCTGGGGAAGCACATCACCCCTTGTCTGCCCTTCAGTCACAGGAGTATAACAAACTGTGGCCTCTTTCACGCCTCACTTGGAAGATGACAATTCCGCATTCCTCGGTTGTATTCTGGATTAGTGATTTTTCTCTTGACAAAGATAGTTTCTGATGACTGATCTCTATTTGGAAATTATGACCCCTTATGAAAAAAATCACCCAAATCTCTTACTCCGGGAAGTTTCGATTTCTCAGGCTGCTAATTTCAAGTCTTCTCACTGACTAAAAAAGTAATGCAAGCCCATGTCTTTTATCATGGCCTCCATTTACTTCTATTTTTCTCAGATTATTCCTATTAACCATCTGTGTTCCCAACTCTTCTTTATTTAGAAAGAAACAAAACCAAAAGCCTCCCCTCACCTCCTCTTAAATTCATCTTTTTTTTCTCTTACACAACTTCAGCAACTCGTGACAAATTATAGCCCAAACAGTACAGAAGACCAGTTGTCCCACGAGAACATGCTCGTCCCCCACCCCAGCATGGCTGCTTGCCATTTACCGCCCCCAGCCTTGGGGTGGGAAAGTAGAAGACAGTTCTTGTTATAAAAGCCTTGGGTACCCTTAGGCTATACACCAAGGATGGGTTGAGGCATATGAAACATTTGCAACTGTATAGAACAGAATACCTACTCTGCCTGTGCAAAGGATCACTCCTAACCCATCATCCCAGCACACCTGGCTTTCTTGATCTGTCTAAACTTGCTATAGCTTAAAATAGCAGATGTTTAGAGCCTGAATCCTGGAGGAATGGGGGATTGTACACAGTTGTGTGTCTATCCATAATAGTATTTCTATCAGCCACAACTGTTGTTTGGATCAACTAAGAGTAGTGTAGGCTTATCTCAAATATTTTTCAAATCGGTAACAAGCTCTGAAGGGTTGTTAGGGGGTTGATGGCCCAGGAGCTTATGCCATCTAAAGTAGCAAATGTGATGAACTGTGTTTTGAATTGTTTTCTCTAGAGAGTCTTGATTCTTAGGTCAAGGAATATCAGTCTTGATATTTCTGTTTAAATTTAAATGACTTGCCCATAATTTGATTATACCGAGTCACTGACAGGGCCCTGAGAGCTGGGTTAAACATCCAGCAGTCAGGAGCCAGCCTGGAAGATGCTGTAATAATAACCCCCAAGGCTTGGGACAGAGAACAAAGAATTAGTCCTCTTTCAAGGTTTTCTCACTATTTATGAAGCTGTTTAACTCATAGATGTGACTCTCTTAAGATTTTTTTTTCTTTGTTAGGAAGTATTTCAAAGAAGCGTGTGATGTCCCTGAACCAGAAGAAAAGTTTAATATGGATAAATACACAGATGTGGTGACAGTCAGCAAACCAGTCATTTATATTTCCATTGAAGAAATTATCAACACACATTCAGTAAGTGGGGTTAGAAAAGGCTCTTAGCAATGGGCCCATAGTTCAGACATGTTTCTTGAAAATGCTTAGTCTCTCTAACGGGCTTCCTGTAAACATGTACGGATACTCATATTCTTAATTCTAAGAAGCTTTTGATTATTTTATCCCCTGACTCTCATGCATCAGTAAAGCTCCTTCTCCCAAACAAGAAAAGTTGACTTTTTCCATGATCCATTTGCAGTCAGTTGTGAATGTGGAGTGTAAGCCCTGGTATTTCCCCACCCACCACAACCCCACTGCCTGAACCCCCGCCCCATATACTGTCTCTCTCCCTTTTAGGAATCCTCAGCTTTTCAGTAATTCCCTGGGAAAGTGAAAATGTTTTCTCTATTCTAATGTTTGGACATAAAGAGAGAGGAAACAGATAGACTGCTCAAGGTTAGGGAAGAGAAGACACCCCCACCCAACACTTGCCACCTGCAAAGAATCACTTCTATTGTTCTGGAAACCCTCATTTCTTAGAAATGACAGTTTCAGTCTATGCTGTGTCATAATGTCTCCATCTGGTTCTCAGAGGAACATCGGCTGTTAGTGTGTGTAAGTACCTGTTGGGGACAGGGCAGTTTGCTTGGCACTGGGAAGCCTTAGGGGGCTTTTCAGGCATTTCCGGTAAAAAGAGAGGCTAAGCATTTAGCGGGTTTGGGAGGCGGGTTTATTTGTTTGTTTGTTTTTTAAGGCCAGTTAGAACTTCCTGAGAAATCTAGGTTCTTAAAAGGTAACCTTTTCGAGACTAGTTTTGGACCTTGCTACTCTAAACCAAGTCCTGGAGATTTGTTTGAAATGTACCCCAGACCTTCCACGTCAGAACCTGCATTCTAACAAGATCCCAGGTGACACACACACTAAGGGTCCAGAAGCCCTGCTTAAGGATACTTAAGCCCAACTTCAGGTGGTACACACAACCAGGAGGAAGGCATAACAAATACACACTTCTCGGAGGTCCTACCCCTGACCCATCAAACGAGGTGTACTAACAGGTGGCAACATCGGCTGCCCAAAATTTCCGTCTTTGTTATTAAGCTCTTCTTAGAAACAAAAGCTTGACTACAGATTTAGAAGAAAAAAATGGATCTACTTTTGATTTCCCTCTTTCGGAGTTAGCACAGGGAACCTCCTCAGTGTTTCAGTAAGCTCTCCGTAAGGATTGTGAGTGACCCTAAACAGAGGCAGGTTTGAACTAGCAGCTGAAGGAGTGAGTTGGTTGATTAAATGAAGAGGCTGTGCTTTTCTTATCTCTATATACAAACACCCCAAATCCCAAAGAAAACACGTCCATGTCCAGCAGTGTAGCATTTGCAGAAGTAACTCTAGTGTGCAGGTAGCCTCGTTCATGCTTGAGCTTCGTCTGTCTGTCTGTCTCTGTGGTGGACCATCTCCCTCAAAGAAAATGTCCAGGTGGAGGCTGCAGTTGGCTGCGGGCAGGACCCTCGTGCAGAAGGAGTACTGGGAGCTCTCTTAGAATGAGATTCTTTCCCAAGAACAGCAGAGAAAAAAATGTTATTGTATTCACGTAGACTGTTACTTTTTAAGGAAAAATAGTCTGTTCCTTTTGTGACCAAAAATTGAAAGCAGAATCCAGCCCTGGGAAACATGGCTCATGACTGATTTGGAGTGAGCCCTCCATGTGTTAGGGTGGAAGCAGACATCATAACGTGGGAGTAAAGTAATTTCAGAGAAAGGCCGTCCTGTTTACTGTCTGTCTCAAGTGACGAGGCGGTCACATGCAGACACAAGCACGCAGCAGCGTCCCATGCCAAGTCTGTGGCCACATGCCTGCCCCTGTTCCCTAAGGACTGTGTGGAACCTCAAAATAAGCTCTTTAATGAGACATTTCCAGGCAGTTTGTATGTTCTGTAAATATCAGAGTAGCGGGTAAAGCTGGTCTCCCCTTTCCAGAGGCAGCGGCCCGGTCACCTGTCCCGTCTCAGAACAACACGATTTCTGCGTCGTGCTTGTTTCGTTCTTGTCTCTAACTTAACTTCCCCCCAAATACCCTGTGTACAACCCTCCCAGATTTCACCATGTCTTTATATTACCTCTATTCTTTATATAATGTCTGTCTTAAGTCAACTCACCTTTTTAAAAAAGGAGGATGCGTGAGAAACCATATAGCAGTAGTTCCTTAGCTATGACTCCAAACTTACAAGCAACGAAAGAAAAAAAGGAGGTAAATTGGACCTCATCAAAATTAAAAACTTCTGTGCTATAAACCGTGCCATCAAGAAATTGAAAAGACAGCCAAGGGAATGAGAGAGAATAATTGGAAATAATGTATCTGATAATGTACTTATGTACAGAATATACAAAGAAAACCTACAACTCAATGATAAGATAAAAACCCAATTTAAAAATCAACAAGTGTGCATTGAAGGACACAATCGATGGAGTGAAAAGGCAACCTACAGAATGGGAGAAAATATTTGCAAATCATATATAAGAATGTGTTTTATAAAATCTCCTATCATAGTTTTTAATATCCAGAATATATATATTTTTAAAAATTCCTACCATTTAACAACAACAAAAAATAACCCAATTTAAAAATGAGCTAAGGCAGCAATTTTCAACCGGTGTGCTGCAAGAATTTTTAAAACATGCAAAACCTATTTAGTCAGGGGCACTGACCTCTTTCCCTTAGATTGTCAGATTTAAAAAAATGACAACAGCCAACACAACAATAGCCATCCAGTGTAAATGAATGAAAATTATACCTTTTTTTTTGGTCAGATCAGCAAAAGCTATAACATATTTTTTAGTGTACCACGGAATTTTAGTAATTAGTTTATGTGTGCCATGAGATGAAAATAGTTGAAAATCGCTGGGCTAAGGACTTGAATAGACATTTCTTCAAAGAAAATATACAAATGACTGACAAGCACATAAAAGATGCTCAGTATCACTAATGACTAGGGAAATCCAAAAGAAAACCACAATGATTTTGCCTTATTGTTTTTACAGAGACAGCCAATAAATCTACCATTTGATTTGGGGGAGAAAAACCCACAATGAGATACCACCTCACACCCAGTGTGGTACCTACTATCAAAAAATAGAAAATTAGTGTTGCCAAAAAACGTGGAGAAATTGGAACCCTTTACACTATTGGTGGGCATGTACAATGGTACAGCTGCTATGGGAAACAGTATGCTAGTGTCTCAAAATATTAAAAATAGAATTACCATATGATCCAGCAATTCCACTTCCAGGTATTTACTCAAAAGAATTGAAAGCAGAGTTGAAGGGATGTTATACACACATGTTCATTCACAGTAGCATCATACAGTAGCCAGAAGGTGGAAGCAGCCCAGCTGTTCATCGGTGGATGAATGGACAGACAAAATGTGATACATACGCACCATGGGATGTCAGCCAGCCTTCAACGGGAAGGAAATTCTGTACATGCTACAACATGGAAGAGCCATGAGGACATTACGCTGAGTAAAATAAGCCAGTCTCAAAAAGACAAATGCTGTCTGATTCCAATTGCATGAGGTACCTAGAGCAGTCAAATTCAGAGAGAGCAAAATTAGAATGGTAGAGTAGGGAGTTGTTTAATATATATAGAGTTTCTGTTTTGCAAGATGAAAGCATATGGAGATCGATTGCACAACAGTGTGAATGTGCTTAACACTACTGAACTGTACACTTAAAAATAGTTAAGATGGTGGATTTTATGTGTATTTTACTATTAAAAATAAAAAAGTTTAATGGGCCCGTCCGGTGTAGCTCACTGGTTGAGCATCGACCCATGCCCCAAGAGGTCGCTGGCTTAATTCCCAGGCAGGGCATATGCCTGGGTTTCAGGTTCGATCCCCAGTAGGGACAGAAGGCAGCCGATCGATAATTTCTCTCTCTCTCTCTCCTCCTTCTCCCTCTCCCTTCCTTTCTCTCTAAAAATCAACAAAAGCATATTTTTAAAATTTTTAATGGGCAAATGATCTGAATAGAGATTTTTCCAAGGGAGATATATAGGCATACCTTGGATTATTGCACTTTTTTTACAAATTAAAGGCAAGACCCTCCACCAGAGAAAAGATTACGACTCCCTTTTTGTGATACACTTTTATTGCGGTGGGCTGGAACTGAACCAAAACATCTCTGAGGTCTGCCTGTAGTAATGACCAATAAGCCCATGGAAAGATGCTCAGCAGCATTAGCCATCAGAGAATGTGCATCTACGCTGCAGTGAGGTACCGACTGCGCGCCCCCCGGGATGGCTAGAATAAGCTCGGGTGGTAACAGGTGTTGGCAAGGATGTGGAACCACTGAAAGTCTCCTGTACTGCTGGCAGAAATGTAAACTGGTACGGCCACTCTGGAAATCCGTTCGGCAGTGCCCAGATATTAACATGAGTTACTGTATGATGCAGCAGTTCCACTCACAGGTATGAACTCCCGAAAAATGAAAACATGTTCACACAGAAACTTGTACATGACTGTTCATAGCATCATTATTCATAATAGACAAAAAGTGGAAACAAATGGTAATCAACAGATGAATGAATAAAGTGTGATATCTCCGTATAATGGAAAACCACTCATTCAGCCCTAAAGAGGAATGGAGCACTGATTTATGCTACAACATGGATGAGCCTTGAAATCATGCTCAGTGAAAGAAGTCAGTACAAAGGGCCACAAATTACACAATTCCATTCACATGAAGCATCCCCAACATCCACATCTATGGAGGCAGGTAGAAGATGACTGGTTTCCAGGGACTGCAAGGAAGGGGTATTGGAGTGACTGCTAATGGCTGAGTTTCTTTTAGAGTGATGAAAATGTTCTGAAATTAGATAGTGGTGACACACATTTAAAAAGAGGGGGTTTGATGATATGTTAATTATATCTAAATAAAGCTTTTGGGGGGGAAAAAACATTAAAAATGGAAAAGATGAATTTTATCATTATGGTTCAGAGTTATACAAAACAACTAAAATAATATTATCACCGAGTGATAAAATAATCATTATGGTTCAGAGTTATGCAAAACAACTAAAATAATATTATCACCGAGTGATAAAATAATATTATCACCGAGAATACAAGTCCCATACTTTAGAAACATTGTTTTAATTTAATTCTAAATGCAAACAAAAATAGCTGTGTTATTCTTCACAGCCAGCCCCCCCTGCCCCCCCGCTGCCCCTCCAAGTTAAGAAAGTTCTGCCACCCTTACCTAGAAAGATCTTCAGTGCCATTCAGATAAAAATACCTGATAGTGGTGATTTTTTTTTAAGCTTTAGTGTTTTGATTACTGCACAGGTTTTCTCTGAAGAGATATGGAAATGCCCTTCCAGGTAACTACAAGTGTTAAGCAACTTGGCTCATTTAGAATGTTTCCCCCAACTTTGAATTTTTCTCTGAAGGTGGAGTGGGGCCCTGGCATCAGGTGGAAGCAGGCTGCTGCTCAGCAGATCTTGCTGAAGGGGGGTTTATGAGCACCTTTCACAAAGCTACAATTTCTTGACAAAAAATAGGCACTTCCCTCTAAAATAAAATAAAAACCATCTCCCTCTGTGGTCTCTAATTTTATAGATGACAGCCCTGTATTTAAGATTCAAACAATATCAGAATAAAAGTATGAAAAACTGGAAAGGAAACTAAATATGGTATCGTTTGAGAATTTACTTTTGTCTCTGTGTGTTGCTTTCTGTATACAGCTCCTGTTGGAACACCAGGATGCAATTGCACCTGAAAAAAATGACTTACTGAATGAACTGTTGGAATTGCTGGGAGAAGTACCCACTGTGGAATCTTTCCTTGGTAAGAGCTTATTCCTTCTACTATATTTGGTTGGTTGGTTGGTTGGTTGGTTGGTTGGTTGGTTGGTTGGTTGGTTTTCCTATCCTAGATTTTTTAAATGTTGGAATTTAATACTTAAGCTTATTTAAAGGATCATAAGGACACTAGCTGCTTCCTACATTAAAGGCCCCATCATTTGTAGTGTCCTAGATTATATAACACTTTAATATTCTTGAAGGTAAGCTCTAGATACATCATCAAAAGGATTTGTCACCGTGTATCATAAAGGAAAAGTCAGGTTTATTGTAAATTTCTTGCTGTGTTCTCTAAGGATTTTATTAACAGTTCTCCCTTTTAGTAATTTTTTCATATTTTGAATATCTATGCCCCATGTTATTTTAACTTACAGTCAAAGATTATTCTTTTTAATCCTCACCTGAGGATATGTTTGGAGAGAGGAAGGGAGAAAGAAAGGGCAAGAAACATCAATGTGAAAGAGAAACATCGATTGGTTGCCTCCCATAGGCGCCCAGCCGGGCACCAGATCCGCACCCCAGGTAAGTGCCTGACTGGAAATTGAACCCGGAACCTTTTGGTGCCCAGGACAGTGCTCCCACCACCTGGCCAGGGCAAAAGTCAAAGACTTTTCAAAGCCACTCTAAGCGTATTGGAATGTGGTTTATGAGGACCACGGTCCCCTGTCTGACTACGCAGCGTGCCTTCCCCGTGGGCCTGTATCTTACATTGTTGATGCTGATGCACTGTCGCTGCCACAGGGCGTGAGCTGGGAGAATAACAGTGTTTTTTTCTACAGGGGAAGGAGCCGTTGACCCCAGTGACCCTAACAAGGCAAATACACTAAGTCAGCTAGCAAAGACTGAGATTTCCCTTTCCTTGACGAGCAAGTACGACTTGGGGGATGGTGAAGGTGTAGATGGCCAAAGCCTCATGATAAAGTAAGTTTGGGCGTAAAGGGCACATGTCCCCAGTCGTGCATCTTAAACCATGTAAATTCAAGTAAGGCTAAACCCCAAATAATTCATTTTAAAATATCTGCATACTGAAATACATCAAGTTTACCCATCAAACAGCTAACCAAACAAATGGCAATAGACTCTTTATAATTTAAGAGGAAACTAAATATTATAATTATGTAAAAAGCAGTCTTGGGTGGTTGTTTTTTTTTTTCATTTTTCTTGTTGTAATGTGATTCCTTTTCTTTAAGAAATGAAGCAATTAACTCAGCCTGTAAAAGTCTTTAGATAACCCAAGGGAAATATCTGTTTCAGAGTGGTCAGAAGATTAGTGAGGAAATACTGCACCAAATTTAATTTGTGGTAGAAAATGGTAATGTAAAAGGTACATATGTGATAAGACATAATGCTGTCATCTGATTTATGAGCCTTCTTTCCTATTAAACTAAGCCTGGGTATGTTTATCAGCTTTGACTTTATTTTTACCTTGCTTCCCACCCCCAAAGATTTCAAGGGAAGCCTTCAATTTTTAATTAACAGGGCATTTTTCCATCAAGGCTCATAGGAATTCCACACTGGTTCTCTACACACAGTAAGAAAGAATGAGATCCATGATAACAGCTTAAATTCAAACATCATAAACCAAGAACATTGCTCACCAAACAATGCAGTTTTTAAGAACTTACATAAATCAAAGGATATGTTTGCAGGTTAGAACAGTTGTGTATTGAGATGAGATGGAGAATGGAAGTGGAAAACAGAGACAAAAGGAATTTAAATAATACCTCAGACACTACTCCCAAGCTACGTGTCCTGAGTTCTGAGATTGTTTTCATTTGTGACCAGAGCCTCTGTTCCACCCATGACGTGCTTTAGACAGCACTCATTTATTTTTTCCCCCCAGATATTTAGGACATGGCCAGAAAAAACTTACTCAGTGTGCTGTGTAGTGATATGTGCTGCTTCCATTAGGCTCACTTGTTTTATCTTCATATCACCTAAGGCTCTATTCGTTCATGTAGCAAATATTGGAGTACCTACCTCTGTGTCCACGGCACTGGGCTTGATGCAGGGATACAGCAGTGAGCAAGCCAGGACCGGTCCCTGCCTTGCAGAGGTCTCAAGTCTGGTGGTAGAGAGCACAGCTCAACTGCAGGACACAGGACAAGATGCAGGGGACTGGTACACAGCCTTGGCCTCATAGAGTTGAGTGCAGGCCCTTTAGATCATTGGCTAGCAAGTCAGATTAAATGTGTGGAGGGAGAACACAGGGCAGAGCAATAGGGCAAAGAGGGGAAATGTGCAGTCTACTCCCTGGGTTCCTCTGAGCAAGTGCCCATTATAAAGATAACTGGAAATACAGATTGTGTGGTTCCGCCGTGCAAATTAAATTAGGTCAGATGTCCTATGATCTCATAAGTTTTGTGCTTAGAAGTAATGGAAAGACATTTTCTTCATAATTGGTTTTGTCTGCTATTTGAAATCATTTTCTAAATGCAGTCCCTCAGATGTCTGCATTAATGAATGGGAATCACAGTTTGGGTGGTTGAAAATATTAAATAATTTGAATATCATATGTATTTATGCTTATTTCTGAATGCGAGTCTCCATGAGTCTCCAGGTTCTGCAGATTTTTGGAATTCACATTTTAAAAGCAAAATCTGGCCCATGGGCAGTGATGGGTCTTAGGCAAGGAAACCTGGGCACTGTCCTACCTGCCTCAGCCTTGCTGCAAGTCCCTCCCAGCTCCCCACTGTGTGCTGCAAACAAATAGTCCACCCCTTTCATCTCCATGCTAAGTAGAGCCAGCCAGTGGTTTTATTTCAAGTTTCTTTCGGCTTCTTGGGGTTCCTTGCAATTCCATGTGAATTGTTTCATCTTTTCCATTTATACAAAAAAGACCATTGGGCCAGTGTCTTAATAGGCTTGATAACTCACTGCTTCCATAGACCTCTGGGGTCTAGCGTGCCTTCCCTTGGGTACACTTCGAGCTCCTGCTGTTAGCGGACTTCACTAAGTAGCCCAGTGATCATGCAAATAACTGAAGTGAAGATTGACTAAGTGGCCGTCCCTGAAAGTGGAATTTGGGTACTACCCAAAAGATTCAGGCGAGTTAGCTCCAGATGTTAGGCAAGCCTTACTTCCAAATGCATTATACTCTAAGTATGTATTTTAAAATCTTGCTGCCAGTAGATAATTATAAAATGTGTCATCAACAGGGAGCTTGGAGACCATCTAGTCTGTCTTTATCTTTGAGGTGAGGAAATGAAAGCAGCAAGTCACTGACATGCTTTAAATTCATATCATATATCATTGATGTTCCATTAATATATACTCTTGCAAGCAAATAAACCAAATCCCTAACTCAAACATACAATGCAGTTTTTGAGACTCTTCAGTAGAGAACTAGGTTTAACTAAAATCCAACAGTGCCTTTCAGAGGTTACTGTGACGTGGAGAATCGTGGAATGCAGAGTAGTTGGAACATGAAAATACCTGGCTTTTCTCCACCAAAAAATGACTGCTTCCTTGTTAAACAGGTTTTTAACTTTTAGAAAAGCTGCATTTTGAGTCATTACAGATCATTAGCTTTCCAGTGATGAATAACTCACCTTCTTGGGGATCTCTACAGGAGCAGAATTTGAGGCAGTTAACCTTATACCTGTAAACTTAATTCCATGCTCGTTTCATAATTCTTACTAATTAAGTGAGTATGAAAATGATAATTTAGCAAATATCTTTGTACTGCTTATTATGTGCCAGGGGCTGTGCTGTGAATACAGGTACAGGTACAGATACAGAGACAGATGTAGATAAAGATATACCCAGTAGCATATATAATATAATAACATATATAATGGAATACTCTCAACAACTCCAAGAAGTAGAGTTTATTACTTATATTTTACATGAGGAAACAGACAAAAACCCTTTTCTAGGGGGTGTGCCTAGTAAGTGGAGCATAGATTCAAACTCAAACGATCTTAAATCTTCCAGGGGCCACACTCAGATCATGAGGTTTTACAACTTGTGGAGAGCAAGGTCACTGCTTTTTGCACTCTTAGGAATCTTAGAATGAACAAGGAGAGTGATAGCAGAGCAGTTACTGCATACCCGATGCTGGGCCAGCTTTCCAGGCCAAAGAGGACTGGCTGCTAGAGGGGAGGGACGTGAAGGCACGTGTAGGAGTAGGAAGAAACGCTTCGTTTCTGCCTCCCCTCTGTATGTCTGTGGAATGGGGAGCTTCAGTGTGGGTGATTGCATTTTGTCAGTCCTACCAAGCATGGTGATAGTAAAGACTAAGCCAAAAAAAGCCTGGTTGAGGAGTCCTAGGAAAGCCGGGGATTAGCCTCAATCTGTCACTTATTAGCCAAAGGACTCAGAGCAAGTCACCTGACCGTCATTTCCAACCCCTCCCCCATCCACCAGAGAAGAGGGGGGAGGGGGAGGAGGGGCTACGGTGAGCAAATGAGGTTGTGCGCTAACACCTTATACATTAGAATGAGCTATGCAGTTGTAAATCTCATTATAACTTATGATTCAACTTAAAATATGTGATCCTTATGGCCTTTATTAAGCTTTTTCTACAAAAGTATGTGTGCTTAAGTAGAAGGCAATATTTGTGGTTTTTAATCATACTTAGCTGCCCAAGTACTTAAGTTGTCATCTCTTAAGAATTTTTTCCTATCACATGATTCAGTTTAGGCATCCATCATCCCAACTGAGAGCTTTCCTTGCTTTTAGTCCAGACTGGTATGAGCGCTAAATAGCTAAGGTGATATCTGAGGCAGGGAGATGAAAATGTGTACTGTGTTAGAATTTTAAACAACTGGAAATATTCCTTAGCTTCCACGAACACAAATTTAATTTTAACTGTGGGTACACTGTAAGGCAGATGACAGAGGGGAGGCTCAGGACTGCTCCTGGTCAGCGTGTGGTAACAGATGCCCTGTGAGGGGAATGGCCAAACCTAGCACACCCGTTTATAAGCGCCGTGCAGTCTCGCTCCCCGACGGCGGGGTGTGCGCACGGCCGTGATGAATGCCCTCTCGTGCATTCTTTCTCCCTCCCTCCCTTTCTCTAATTCTTCCTCAGAGTTAGATACCTTCCCATTCAGATAGGGCGGCAGAGCCCTTGGTTTTGTCAGCCCCATTTGAAGGCATGGGGCCAATACTCTAACCCGTTGATTTATGCTGGTCAGACCATATCTAGAATATTGTGTTTGCATTGGGTGGGGAGAGGGACATGTCTTCAGGTCACTGCAGACTGAAAGGTGGGCAGAACTACGAACTCTCTTTAAATCCAGTTGTGAAGAGCTTAAGGAACTGAGGGGTTTCGCTTGGGAAAAAGAAGGTGGAGAAAGAGGCGATGGGACAGAGCTCTGGCACCTCTCTGCAGGTCGATGAGTGCTGAAGATGTGGAAAGGGAGTTCAGCTTGTTTACTGCAACTCTAGAAAACAGAGTGACCGTTGTAACCATTGACCCTCTCAGGTCTCAGTCGCCTCATTTGTCAGATCCAGGATTAGGCTGTTTCCCAAAGGTGTCCCCTTAGTGCTGGAGTCCTGTGACTGACCAGGTCCAGTGAGTGGACATCACCGGAAGGCAGGCCTCAGAGTGAGCTTCCCGTCTAAGAATGAGCGTTCCAGTGCTGACTCGCCAGAAGAAGTCCAATGTGAGCCACACGAGTTGTTTTAAGTGTTCTAGAAGCTGTATTTTAGAAAGAAACAAGTGAAATTAATTCTACTTTATTTAACCCAGTATGTCCAAAATGTTATTCCAATATGTAACCAGTGTAAAAACTGTTAATAAGATTTGGTCCACCCTTTTTCTCACTAAGCCTTCAGAACCCGGTGTGTGTCACACTTACATCACGTCTGTTTGGGCCCGCCCTGGCTCAAGGGCTCGGTTGCCCCTGTGGCCAGTGGTTGCCATTTGGGGCAGCACAGCTTTCGTGATCACCTAAGTGCTTACCATGTGTCAGGCCCCAGGGAGCAGCTTCACAGCTGTCTTTTCATTCAATCCTTGTATCAGGGAAATTCCCATTATGTCAATTTTTTAAAAGAACATAGGGATTATATAATTTGCACAAGTGCATGCAGCTAGTAAGCTACAGGAGCCCCAATTTACCCCAGATCCGTCTGATCCCAGTGTTCCTAACCATTAGGCATATGCCAGGAAGGTCACGAATTCCCTGTCATGAAGCTGGATGGCTGCTTATATGTAAGATGCCTTGGGTAGAACTTGGGCAGTGGATTCCGCAGGCCTGACATAAAGCAGGATTCCAAGGAAAGAGGAGGCTGTCTGGGCAGCTTATCTTCCAGCAACTCCTGAACAAATAAACATTCGTTGACCCCGGCAGGCATGCTGGAGTGGCCCGTCATGTTGGTCATCAGATAGCTTCTCTAAAGAGATGAGCTGGGAGTTTCCTGGAAGCATATATCATAAGTAGTTCCTAGAATATTATTTCAAATAAGAAACGTCACTGTGTTTTTAAAATCATCCAAAGCTTTTATTTTTAACTGGATGTTCCTGCTTAATACATTTGTAATGATGATTGGAGGAAGGGGTTGAGTGGGGAGGAAACTATACTTGGCTCTTTAAGCCACAGCAGCCTCGGGAGCAGTGCCATTTCCCACGTGGCTATAATTAGCTGGGTGCCCACCTTTGACTCTTGGAGAGTTGATCCGCGTGCTCCCAGACAGCCCATAAATCCCCAGCAGTGAAGGGTCATGGGCCAGAGGAAACGGCTCTGATCACTCTTGTACAGGCCTGCAATAAGTAAGAAATGAGAAAAATGATACTTACAGATGGTGTACTGGATTTTATCCTGTTCTCAAAAATAACATTTTTGGAATTAACATGGAAGGTTTCCCCTGTCATTTGCGGGCAACTGCCCTGACACTTCCAAATGTGAACGATGCTTTGTTTTCATTTTCCAATTTCCATGCTGTGTGGACATTTCGTGCTGTAGTTGAGGAAGAAATTCATCACCTGGTGAGACCCTGTAATGTCCTTGAAAGAACTGAGGTTAAATGCAACAGGACTGGGGTGAAAGGGAAACTTTAGGCAGGGAATAAACTCCCATTTGTTTCCCTTTTTTGGAAAGGAAGCTGTATCCGGTAGTACTGTTCTCACATAAAAGTGAGCAGACTTGACCATTTGCCTTTTATATTAAAATCTTTTTACATAACTGCATAACCTGGTCTTTAATTAGGAAGCGGTGGCTAGATACCCTGAAGAACCCATATGGAAAAATACATGGTTTTAGCACTTCCAGACTTTTCCAGCTCTTAACTTTTTACTGAGAAGCCCTTCCCTTCTCTACCACCTGAAGACTAGGACCCAAGCTAATCTGTTAGCTCCTCCACCAGATCGGAGGCTCTTAAACACCCAGCCTTCTCTACCACCTGAAGACTAGGACCCAAGCTAATCTGTTAGCTCCTCCACCAGATCGGAGGCTCTTAAACACCCAGCTGCTGTGTCGGCCAGCAGCCAAGGCCTCCCCAGCCCACACAGGATGTCTGTGCACACTGGCCTTCAAACCGTTCCAGAACTTTCTCAGAGCAGGAGAGGCAGCACTTGGTCTGGCTCCTAAAGTCTTAAACAGGCTCAGAAGTTTAAATGTGATTAAAGTCAGGAAAGGGGGATGTTAGATATCATTCCCGCACCCGCCATGGTAATAGGCCAAATCAGTAGTACTTTGCCTTCTGCTCAACAAAAAGTAGCCTCAGTCCAAAAAAAAGGGAAAACATTTAGATAAGGAATCATGCATACTCGTGCCCATGTTACTGACAGTATAATCCTACTACATCAAGTATGTAAAACCCAGGTTTCGATTATCAAGCCTTCACAAACTTTCCAGAGCCTTCGAGTAGATGTGGTGAATTTCTGCAAGACTGTTATTTTAAGGGATTATCTTTGAAGCTTTATTTTTGCATGTGCATGCACTCCCTCAGAAGCAGCATTTTGTACATTAGGACTGCTGTGTAAAAGTCTGTCTCTTCTTTCTCTCTTTTGAAAGGACCAAAAAACTGATAATCGATGTGATCCGGAACCAACCAGGCAATACACTGACAGAAATCTTAGAGACACCAGCAACTGAACAACAGGTAATTGGTTTTTGAGTGTAAAATAGTAAGTGCCATAGATATGAGTTGATCTTATTAATCTTCCTGCCAAATGTTTACTGTTACCTCAGAGTAACCATATCTGACATGGTTTGGAAGTAAGGAATTTTATCAGTTACTTTGGCCAGCTGAGTTCAGCTATACATAAAATCCATAGGGAGCCCTGACCAGTGTGGCTCAGCGGTTAGAGCGTCAGCCTGCACACCAAAGGGCCACAGGTTCTATTCCCAGCCAAGGGCACGTACCTGGGTTGCAGGTTCAGTCTGTTGGGGCACGTGCGGGAGGCAGCCAATCCAGGTGTCTCCTCACATCGATCTCTCTCCCCCTCTCTCTCCCTCTCTTTCCCTCCTTTCTTTCTTCCTTCCCTCCCATCCACTCTCTCTGGGGGAAAAAGCAATGGAAAAGATATCCTCAGGTGAGGATTAACAAAACAACAAAAAAAATCCACATGGACTATCAATAGGAATGAAATAGAAAGTGCAGCGCCAAGTTTAGGCTGAATGTAATTTCGTCCCGGATAGGAAGATAGTTCTGGGTATTTCAGAGCTTCTGAATGTGCTCATGCACTTTACCAGTCAGTGGACGAACAGATGAGTCAGTTAAGAGATGGTTCTGGCGGACAGGGAGTAGGCCGTGCCTTGCATATGTTGTTTGCTAACTTGAAGTGTCTCACATTAAAACTGTTCACATGCTTCAGAAGCCAGTGTCTTGAGTCTGCTGGGCCAGAGCACTATTGTCCTGGTATAAGTAAGTGAAGTTTCATAACAATCTTGCATTTATTTATCAGCATCTTTTAAAATGTATCATTGTTTAGTTAGCTCTGAATTAACTTTAGTGTTACTGCTTTATTATCAATAACTGCCACTCCCTAAACAAAAGTTAACAAAACTATTTAAGTAGTTACTTCTTAGCAGAACGACACATAATTTTCCCAAATCATTTTAAATTGGTTGCCAAGAAATCATTCTCTCACAGTTTTTAATTTTAAAAATATAAAGTAAAATTAAGTTATCTGATGTTTGTTAATGTGTGGATATTTTTAAAACAATGTGAGTAGAATATTCTGCTAATTTAGTATGAGCATTTTAGTCCTTTTTGATTTTTGATTTTTTCCCAAATGCATCATAGTCACTAAGAACACAGACCTCCAAGGTCAAGTATAGCTCTATAACTGTATAACCCTTGGCACTTAGAAATATTTCTGTGCCTCAGTTTCCGCAACTGTAAAGTGGGAATAATAATAACAGCACCCAATTCACAAACAGGAATAAATGAGTTAAAACATATTAAGCCCTGGCAGGGTGGCTCAGTTGGTTGGCGTGGCATCCTGTGCACCAAAAGGTTTCGGGTTCAGTTCTCAGTCAGGGCATATACCTGGGTTGTGGGTTTGATCTCTGGTCGATGTTTCGCTCTCACATCAATGTTTCTTTCTCTCTCTTCCTTCCTCTCACTCGAAAATAAATAGAAACATATCCTCAGTGAGGATCAAAGAGGATAGAATATCTAGCACATATTAATTGCTCAATAACGTTGGCTGCTGACCTGGTAAATTGTTCCTGTGTCCATAACGTTGACCTGTCCATGTGTGACTAATAATATTTGTATCCTTAGACTTTATCTATTGTGTCAATCCGTTGTGTAGTCCAGTGAAACAGGAAGATCACCAGTCCCTTTTAATACTGTTGTTGTTTTTTAACAGACTATCCAAATTGCATTCACTCATTTATCATTTATTTGGGACCTTACTACATTACATGCTAGAATATTTTTATTCAGCTTTGGTTCAAAGAAAACCCCACAGGCTTTTCAGAGATGGAAGTTTGAGAGCGATTCTCTGATTCTCTGACTGCCTTCTGAGCTGATGAACCTCCATCCATAGGGCTACTGTGTGAGTTCAGTGAGGTTCGATGTTCAGGGTTTTCACAGTCATGTTTTAATGGGTAATCTAGTTTTAATTTCTTCAACTGGACTATCAAGCAATTCAAATCCTTCCACCCAGGGAATCGCAGTATCAGTTATCCACCGTGCTGTGTCCATGACCAGGGTAATTCGTCACCTTGGCAATAACGTAGCTCTTAGAACTTCCCCCAGAGGCCTGCCACCGCTGCTCTGTTTCTCAAAAAGGTGGAGAAATTCCGTACCAAAGACTTACTTCAAAACCCATGAAGAACACATTCTGGTCTTTGGACTTTGGTTTGAAGGCTTCTTTCACTTTGACATTCACTTGCCTTGTACAGCTTCTAACGTGTGAGATTAGGGGTCAGAGAAAAGGCAACATCTTGACACTTGCGTTTCAGGAAGCGGCTCATGCCGCCGACGTGGAGAGCCGCGCAGGTCCAGCCCCCAGGGCTCCGGAGGAGATGGAGGGTGGCCAGTCTGTGATGGAAGATGCACAGCTGCCCCTGGAGCAGAAGAAGAGGAAAATCCAGAGGAACCTTCGGACACTGGAACAGATGGGACACGTGTCTTCCAAAAATAAATACCAAGAGATTCTCAGTGAGATCGCCAAGGTTTTTGGAAATAATATTCTTTCTTTACGTAGCAGACATTTGCTAATCATTGGTCACAATCTGTGAGGTGACATGAGGGATTCGTATTTGTATATGCCGTGGTCAGTATTAGAGTGTTAAAGGTTCAGAGCAGTTGATGACTTTCAATAGAGAATGATCATAACCCCCCCCCCC